ATATAGTCCATGACCCCAGAGAAGCTAAGTAACAAGGAGAACCCTTAGAGAAACATATAGATAGATACCCCTGAGAAAAGGAAATAGACAAGATCTCCTAAGAAAATTGACCCAGGGGGGTTGGGGGAGACGGGGGGGCAGCTGGGGAGGAGAAGGAAAGAAGGGAAGTAGGGAGAAGAACTTGAGGGAATGGGATAGTTGAGATGGGGGAAGGACAGAAATGGAGAGTAAGGAAAGAGATATCTTGGTGAGGGAGCTATTATGGGGCTAGCAGGAAATCTGGCACTAGAGAAATTCCCAGGAATCCACAAAGATGACCCCAGCTAAGACCCTAAGCAATAGTGGAGAGGGTGCCTGAACTTGCCTTGCCCTGTAGTCAGATTGATGACTATCTTCAATGTCACCATAGAGCCTTCATCCAGCAGCTGATGAAAGGAAAGGTAGAGACCCACATCAGTGCACTGGGCTGAGCCCCTCCCTTTTCCTAAAGCTCTACTCTCTACCAGAAGGTTGCCTGTCATGGTGGCTGACCTGCATCTCAAGCTGTATGGCTCTTACTCCCCACCACAGGGATGCCTGCCACCGGGTGGCTGCCCTGCGTGCTGCCCAGCTCAAACTGCCTGGCTCTTGTTCCTTTTCTTCTCTATTCCCCTCCTCTCTTCCAGGCAGCTTCAAGATTTACAACTCACTTGCCCTGGGGTTTTCTTTTATGAACTCTAATAACTGTCCTCGGATTCTGTTTCTGTATGTCCGTAAATTCTTTTATTAATAAGTAAGAACCCGCAGAAGGAACCCTGATTCCCCAAGTGCCATATGATGGCTCAGGTGGGATTCCCCAAGATTCTTACTAACATGTCTTTCCTGTCTTTTAATTATTTAGTTGGCAGAGAAAAATGAACCCATTCCTGTACCCAAAGCTGGCATAGGTTCTGCTGGCACCTGGCCTGTCCCTGTGGCTCCAGGGAACTGTGACTTGGTAAGGGCATGAAGTGAGGGTACACCCCCTTGAGGAGCCTTGAGTGGAGGTGCTCCGTCTACAGAGGCTCCAACCTTTCACTGAACACACCGGACTCCACTGTCAGCCCTTTCCTGAAGCAACACTGTTCTTGGGTTCACTCTCTGACTTGAACCTGTGCCTGCATGGATCAGAACCCAGTCTGGTTTACCAGATGTGGTGGGTCGAATGAGAGCAGCCCTCATGGGCTCATATATTCAAATACTTGGTCCACAGTTGAAGGAACTGTTTGAGAAAAATTAGAGTATGTGACCTTATTGAAGGAGGTATGTCATGGGGGTTGGTGGGGGCTTTGAGGTTTTAAAAGCCCCACCATTCCCAGGTAGCCTCTGTCTCTCTGGCTCTGGCTTGTGGAGCAGATATGAGCTCTCAGCTACCGCTCCTGCCTGCCTGCTGCCAGGCTCTCTGCCATGATGATCATGGACTCATCCTCTGAAACTGTAAGTAAACCTTCAACTAAATGCCCTAAATTAAATACTTGCCTTAGTCGTGGTGTTTTGACTAGCAACAGAAAAGTAACTAAACTGCCAGAGGTGACTTCCACCACTGGACTGGCTGGGATGGTTGAACCCCAAGATATGGTTCACTTCCTTCTAGCCTGCACTGGGAAGACCCTTCTCACAACTCACAAAGAAGGGTAACAGTGTAACTCATGGTGAGCTACACTTAGGGACAACACAGTGACCAGGAACCTACCTTCACAGGGAACCCATAATCATAGGAAGTATCCTATCTAAGAAACTACTGTCTAATCAAAGATAATTTTTTTTCCCTGAAGAGTTTCATACCTTTATATCTCTGGTCTATTTGAGTTAAATTTTATTTTCAGCATGAGACTCTGAAACAAAAACAACCAAGATAAGCTACCATGGTCCTACAATCCCAACTACTGGGAAGGCTAAAGCAAGAGAATCTTTCCTGGGTAATTCAGCAATCTTTTATGAAACAAGAACCAGAGTTTACACTTGATTTTAGCTAAAAAGAAGCAATACACTTTTACAAAAATTAAAAAAAGAAAAGTTTTTTTTGTTTTAGCTTTTGTTGTTTTGTTTTTGTTGTTGTTGCTGTTTGTTTTATTTTGATTGTTTTGTTTTTTACAAAATTAGAGCCAGCAAGATAGCTTGGTGGGTAAAGGTACTTGACCTGACTGAATTCAATTTCCAGAAGCCACACAATAGAAGGAACCAATTCCCACAAGTTTTTCTCTCTCTCCCTCTCTTTCTCTCTCTTTCTCTCTCTCTCTCTCTCTCTCTCTCTCTCTCTCTCTCTCTCACACACACACACACACACACACACACACACACACACCACAAAATTATGTTTTTTTAAATACATACAGTATACAGTACAGGAAGAAAAACTCACAAAGTCAATTGGCGTAGAGTGAATATAATTGGCCTTCATAATCTCATGGGGAGTAACATTAGGAGGTATGGCTTTGTTAGAATGGATTTGTTGAAGGAAGTGTGACACTGTGGGGGAGGATTTTGAGGTTTTCTATGCTCAGAGTACTGCTTAGTGTCTCAGTCAACTTCCTGTTGCCTGTAAGATGTAGGAACTTAGTTATTTCTCCAGTACTACATCTGCCTGCATGCTGCCATCATGATAATGGACTGAACCTCTGAACTGTCATCAAGGCACTACAATTAAATGTTGTCATTTGTAAGAGTTGCTGTGGTCATGCTATCTCTTCACAGCAATAGAAACCCAAACTAAGACAGAAGTTAGTACCAGGGACTGGGGTATTGCTGTGACAGACCTGACCGACCATGCTTTTGTTTGGTATAAATGGGCTTTGGGAATTTGGATTAGGAAAACAGTGGATTGCTTTAAGCACTGCTAATGGGCCACACCAGTAGAAGGATGGAAGACAGTGGTGCTGAGTGTGATTTGATGAAATGTAGGGATCAAGAGGTTTCAGAAGAGAATTTTAGTATGTGACCTAGAGATTGTTCTCGTGACGTTTTGGTGTAGAAAGTGGCTGCCTTTTGCCCTTGTCTGAAGAGTCTGCCTGAGACTAAAGTGAAGAGTTTTGGATTAATTTGGTTGGCAGAAGAAATCTCAAAACAGCCTAGTGTAGACTCAGTCATGTGGTTACTGGTGTTCATGCTTTTAAATATTTATAATAAAAAGGAACATGTTGAGCAAGATAAATTACAGAATGTAAATTTTGAGAAAAGGAGCATCAGGAAGTGGAATAGAGCGAAATCCTATGTTCAAGGAGATAGATTAAGAAATGGAATATAGGGAATGGTGATCTTAGGGCATGACCCCACCCAGTTAAATTTCCAACTTGTAAAAAGGAATTAAAGAAAAGTTTAGAGCCAGGTGTGGTGGGGCACACTTTTAATTCCAGCACTGAGAAGGTAGAGGCTGACAGACCTCTGAGTTTGAGGCCAGAGTAAGTTTCAGGACAGTCAAGCTTAGGTAACGAAGGACAGAAAGCTGGTAAAGACGTAACTAAATGAGAGGGTATGTACCAGCCCCAGTAAGCACCAGAACTTGCCAGCTCCAACCATGTGGTTCTGCCTTAGTGGTAAGGACAGGAAAAAAACAGGATATAGAATCGTCCTCTGTGGCTAAAGAATGCCAAAGAGGCCAGGCGTGTGTCAGGGGTGTCCCTGAGTGGAGGCTTAGTAAAGAATTCATTTCCTGAAGCTGTGAAGTTAAAGCCTGCAGTGCCTTAGAGACCCCAAGATGTTGGAGATGCCTGCTGAGGAGAGCTGCTAACAGGAAGAGCTGCTAACAGCCCGAGAGAAAGAAGTGTGCTGCAGTCAATGAAGCTGAATGGAGTTGGAGATCCGGAGCATTTTAACATCAAACATGGAGATGCATGCAGAGTTTGGAGTTTGCTCAGCTGGCATTTTGGTCTTTTTTTTTTTTTTTGGTCCAGTATTTCCTCACTATGTTCCCTTCCCTGTGTTTTGGAATGGTAACGAATCTCCTGTGCCATTATATGTTGGAAGTGTGTGGTTTGCTTTTTGATTTTTACAGGTGATCACAGTTAAGAGATTGCCATGAGTCTCAGAGACTTTGAACTTTGGACTTTAAAATACTGTTGAAACTGTGATAAACTATGAGGACTTCTGAAGTAGGACTAAATGCATTTTGCCTTATGATATTGTTACAAGTTTATGGGGCCAAAGGGTGGCTGGCATGTGGGCATCCACACAGACTTCAGTTGTGAGGACAGAGGTCATTCCTCAGAAGCTATTTTAGCCTGAACTCCAGTAGCTTAGACTGGCTACCCAGCAAGTTCCAGAAATTCAGTCTCTGCTTCCCCAGCACTGGGATTACAAGGAAAACTCACCACCTCACCAGCCTATCCAACTTTTGGAGTTTGTTTTCTTTTGTTCTTAATGTCCTGGGGAACAACTTAGGCGCTCATGCTTGTATAGCAAGCATTTTATGGGCAGAGCTATCTCCCCAATTCCATTGAGATTTTGTTTTGGGGGGAGGGAGGGGGAAGGGGTTTTCCGAGACAGGAGCTCTCCATGTGGTTCTGGCTGTGCTGGAACTCGCTACGTAGACCAAACTAGCCTCAGCCTCGAACAGAGTTCCTTCTCCCTCTGCCTTCTCAGTGCTGAGATTAAAGGCGTGCACCCCTCATGGCCCGCTGCTCTGCTTCTTGAATCAGCCTCAACAGTAGCACCGGCTAGCCTCAGACCCTGCTTCTGCCCCCAGTACTGAAATGACAGGAATTTATAGGTCGTATGTGGTGTTTAACCTAGACAAACAGCTTACATTTCCAAAAGACCTTCAGAGCTACAACTGGAGCTACGACTCGCTTCTCTGTAATTAGCCGCCGTTTGGCAGCACTCTTCAGCCCCATACCACCTCCGGACAGACTTTGGAGTCGCTACCCAAACGCCACACAGGAAGGAAGTTCTAGCCAGACGAACCATGCCTCCCAGAACTCCCTTCCTCCCCTTCCGTCTGAGTTTCCCACCACCCGTCTCCCCCTATGCCTAAATCCTGTACTCAGCGGGGAAAGGCGGAGGGCGTGGCCTGCGGCCGACCTCGCCCGGCTACGTCGCTTCCGGCGGCGCGCTGATGACGTATGTGAGCGCGCCGGGCCGCGTGGAGACCGTTCGGCGAATGGAGGTCAGCGAGGGTGTTTGCTGCGCCGGTCTCGCGTCATGGAGAGCCCGGGTTGCTGAGCGTGGGTACCCGGGACGGGAAGGGTGGCTGGGGAGGGCAGCAGTTAGTAAGGGCCAGTGAGGCTATGGGGGGGGCGGGTATGGAGGGGTGGAAAGGAGCTTTGGACTCCGTGACCCAAGGGCGCTGGCCTGTTGCAAATTCGATTCCGGCCTGCTATTGCGCACGCGCCCCTCTGCCCGCCTTGGACACGAAGCCTAGCCGGCGAGGCAAAGCTACCCTCAGTGACCCTTGCGTCCCCTCCCAGTAGGTTGTCGTGGGTCTGCATTTTAGGTTTCAGGGTTGATACTTACTTCAACCCAGATTTGATTTAAATTGCTCTTAGAAATGTCTTGAAAATAGATACGGTTGGTCAGCGCTTCCTCGATGTCTGGGTTCATCAAGTGGTGGCTATTGAACTTGGGCAGATTTCCCCCTTATTATTAAAAATGAGACATTTTATTTCCTCGTGAGTTTAAGTTAAGCCGGTCTTTTTACAGCTGCAGTAGTCTGCTCATGTGACAAATAAACTGGTCATGTACCCGATTCCCGGAAACAAAAAAAAAAAATTAAGGTATTTTCTGCTTTAGTCGAAACAAGGTTTAGTAATTTGTCTCACCTGGTTTCTGTCTCACTTTAGGGAACAAGACTCGGCACGATTGTTGAAACATGAACATGTAACATGTTCTCAAAGAAGGCCACGTTTTGCAGGACTTGAAAAAAGGTAGTGTGTTTTGCCATGCCCTGTGGTTAGCGGGGAAGGCAGTTGCAAGACTTGCGCTGTGGGCTGAAAGTACCAAGTGGAGCCTAGTTTGCGGGAATTGGATAAAAACTGGGAAGGTGACTCTGGGTGGTGCCAGCGAGTTTTGCTTTTAAAAGTTTAGGGGTGTGACTCCATTGCACCTGCTTGCCTGACTCACATAAGACCAACAGGTAAGCTGCCTGTAATCCTAAGGCTTAGGAGGTCAGAGGAAGGTCAAGGGCATCCTCAGTGATATAAAATAATTGAGCCAGCCTGGGCTGTATAGGATTCTGTCATAAAAAGAGAGGAAGAAAAGAAAAGGATCCCATTAAAATTGTTTTCTGTTTGTATTTCTCTGTGTGAGCATAGACACATGTGCAGGTGCCCACAGAAGCCCAGAGGGTTAGATCTCTGTAGCTGGAGATACAGGCATTTGTGAGTCACTTAATGCAGGTACTGGGGGCTGGATTTTGCTTATCTGGAAATAATAAAATTCTATGAACTGCCAAGCCACCTCTTCAGCTCCCTACAAACACACACACAAAAGGGGGGGTGGCTTTTCTCCAGACCTGTATCAGTAGTGTTTGCATGTTTTCTCAGACATTTCAGGAACATGAGTTATATATCCAGGTTTCCCAGAATCACTCTGACTTAGACAGTCCTGTCATGTTTCATTAAGCCAGTAATTTTTGATCCTGGATACCTTTGAAATTAAAAAAAAATGCCCAGATTGGCATCCAGGAAACATTGAGCGGGACCTGGGGATCTGGGTGCGATTGGAAGTGCAGCTGAGGCTGGTGCCTCCAAGGCTGGAATGTCAGCTGTGGTATCTGACTGCTTGTATGCTGACTTTGGCTTCAGAAAATGCTGTTATATATGTAATGGGTGTTCAGAACAGGGGAGGATTGAGGCCAGGTATGTAGGGTGACTGTCTTAATGTCATTGCCATGGTTTTCTTCTAAGTTTATGTAATACTCCCCTCTCTATTCAGGACTTTGGAATCGCTTGCTAGGAGTCTTTCCTCCCTCCCTCTCCCCAGCTTCCACCATCATGGCAGTCCGCCTGATGAAGCAGTGCGCATGCCTGTTGAGAGAAGCTACCCGTCTAGTCCCCGCCATTGCTCCAGTTGGCCGACTGAGACTTGCCAGGGTGGCCTGTAAGCATTTGACCTCCTCAGTCAGTTCCCCCTCCTCGGGTTCCTTGACAGAGCTGCTGGGAAAAGAGCAAGTGTTTACACCCTACCCAGAGCACCAAGAGGTGGACGGCCTCATTGAGAAAGCCACCAGGCCAGAGGAGCTGCTACAGCTGCTAGGTGGGGGTCATCGCCTGCACCACAACCATGCGGCCCTCATACTCATCCGGCTCTCTTACCTGCTGGCTGAGAAGCCGAAGGAAAAGGCTTTGCTTTTAGAGGATGCTCGCTTTCAGCAGCTCGTCAGTCAGGTCAACAGTCAGGTGAGCGCTAAAATCATCTCTTTAGGTCTTTGGAATCCTTGCAAGGAGACTTAGCTCCATTCTTCACCACTAGCACCAGCTGTAGAGAGGGCTCCTGGTATTTCTTCTTCTAGATTTCCAAGAACTTGCCTGTGCTTTTTGTTCCCCCTCCCAGGAGCCTGTTAGGTAAATGTTTGAGTCTAAGACAACCCAACACCTGGTGTCCCCAACTGCAGGGGACGAGCCTGGTTCTTTTTAGTTCCTTTGGTGCTTTGTCCTCAACAGCAGAGCCTTAAATTTCTGCTCCCGCCCTCAGTGTCTGATTGCCCATTGACACCACCCTGAAGTCAGGAGGTGCGGTGTGACTAGTGGTGGGCCCCTGAACCCAGGGCTGTTTTCTAGTCCCATTCAGGTCCTCAGAGCATGAACAGGAGGAAAAGTAAGGCCTATTTGCATGGTTCTGCAGCAGCACTCAACTACGGCCAGTTTTGCCCCGATGAGGATAGACTCCTTCACAGAGCTGCTTCCCTGAATCCCATGGGCTAAGGAAATTCAGTCCTACCCTAGCTAAACCAGCCTCATTCCCTCATCTCAGTGTGATAAGGAAGGGTTGGGCTAAGTGCTTTAAAACCATTATTGCGTTTTTTAAACCACTACAATAAGATGTGGCTTTTGTTTCTTTTGTTTTTTTTCAAAACGGTTTATCTGTGTAGCCCTGGCTGTCCTGAAACTTGCTTTGTAGACCAGGCTGGCCTTTATAGTCTTGTAATTAAGTGTGTTACCTAGCTTGTGCTGTGTGTATTCATATCGGATTGAAGTGTTTCTTCCCAAGTATATAATATATAAGTAAACTTAATAAGCCTTTTTCTTAGTCTGTGATTTAATTTAATTCCAGATGTGGTGTGTTTGTTTGTTTGGTAATTATTAGATACAGGACTCAATATTGGAACAGAATAGTAAGTGACAATAACTTGGAACAGTAACAGTAGAAACAAAAGGAGTTTATTTGGAACTCAGAGTAAACCTTACAGGCGTCAGTTCATCAGGCTTAGTTCCAAGCACTCTACCCGTCGAATTATCTTCCCAGCCATTCCCCTTTCTTTGAAGGTTGCAAGAGCAGACTCAGGAAGCAGTTCCTATGAGGCTGGGATGAGACTAGCTGCTCAGAGTAGTTGTATTAAATACCTTTGGAACTGGCTTCATGTTGTCCTTGTCATTTTCAATGTAGATAACTTCGATCTGGCATGGGACCCTTGTGAAGCTGCTGCGGAGCATGTACACGCTCGTGCTTCCTCAGACCTCCAAGGAGCTGCAGTCGGTGGAACAGGAAGTGCGCTGGCGTCTGCGGAGGCTCAAGTACAAGCACTTGGTCTACCTGGCTGAGTCCTGTGCCTCCTTCATGCAGCAGCAGCAGCACTCACAGGAGCTGCTGGCTGAGCTGCTGATACACCTGGAGAGGCGCTGGACAGAGATCAGTGACAGCCGTACAGTGGTTACCATGATGATGAAGGCAGGACACCATTCAGAGTCACTAATGAACCGCCTGGAAGACAAGGTATGGGGCTGAGAACAGACCCTCTGGGACTTTGGGCCTATTGCGTAGGTGATAGTCTTTTGCAGAAAGGAAAGTTTGGAGCCCTAGAAGTCTCAGTTGTTATATGGGAAGGGGTCTAGGCACATAAATCCAACACCTGATGTTAACACGTGAATCCTGGTTAGATCTGAGCTATCTTATGAATGGTTCAGCTTCTAGATAAAACTCCTAGAGGTAGCTCTGTCCGCTGCCCCTTCCATGTTGCTATCTCTGCAGTCAAGTCAAATTCAGTTCCTGTCTTCTCATGGTGGGAGCTGGCCCAGATGACTGCCACAGCAAGCTCTGCTGTTCATGGGCCCTGTGTCCCCTGCCCTTGGGACCTAGGGATAAATTTGGCTGCAGACATTCTACTCCGGGGCAGGCGGAAAGGCTGATTCTGCAGCCAGGCCTGTGTTGAGTCAGCTCAGGCCCAGTTGCTATCTCACAGGGGCTGCACTGGATGGGACCCCTGCCCCCAGCGTCCCAACCACCTCAGCTGATCCCTGCGCGGCTGTGGTTGACAGTGCCTGGAGCTGGTGGAGCAGTTTGGCCCTGATGAGCTACGGAAGGTGCTGGTGACGCTGGCAGCACAGAGCCGGCGGTCGGTGCCCCTGCTGCGGGCCATCTCCTACCACCTGGTACAGAAGCCCTTCCTGCTGACGAAAGGCGTGCTCCTGGACCTGGCCTATGCCTACGGTGAGAAGAGGGAGTCCTGGCCATGGACACTGCAGCCGTGTCAAATTCAGTGCCTGCCTAATGATGGCAAGCACTGGCCCAGAAGGCTGCCATAGAAACTGTGACTCCTGAGCCCTGTTCCACATGCTTGGTTCCGGGATGAAGTTAGTCACAGACACCAAACCTAGAAGTCAAGTCTGAGATGGGATAGGGCAGTGGGTGTGGGGCACTGACCTTCCCCACATCTAATCTCTGGTATCTGCTCCATCCCAAAGGTAAACTCAATTTCCACCAAACCCAAGTGTCCCAACGCCTAGCTGCTGATCTCCTGCCCTTCATTCCCAGCATGACATTTAGTGAGGTGGCCCGTTGCGCCAAGTCCTTTGCCTTCCTCAAGTGGCTCAACCTGCCCTTGTTTGAAGCCTTTACTCAGGTGAGTTAGGACCAGTTCTGGGGTTCTCTGTGTGGAGGCTCTGCGGGCCTTCCTTGGGAACTGCTGCTTTGGTTATGGAAGCAAAACCAAGCTGGAAATACCTCTTGGTGGGTTGTAAATGCATACTTTCTTACGAAAACACTTCAGAGCAGTTGCCTGTTGATTTGTGGGGGGACCTTTGTACTCCTGGCTACTGACCACTCCAAGTGGAATTATGCCTGCACTTGTTCCTAGAGCTGTCAAAGAGTTTCTAAAACAGCTATCGGGAGTTGGGTTCTGGGAAGCTGCTGCTGGGTGAAGTCTGGGCTCTCGGGAAGGGAGGGGACAGCTGCTGTTGGGGTGCTTACTTTGTCACTCTGGCCTAGCACCTGCTGAGCAGAGCCCAAGACGTCTCCCTGTCCCACCTGTCCAGCATTCTTCTCGCTTTTGCCCGTCTGAACTTCCATCCTGAGCAGGAGGATCAGTTCTTCACCTTGGTATGAGCACTGGACTACCGCTTTTCTGACTCACTAACTTCTGCCTCGAGCCACTGTCTAAGAGTGTGGTATGGGGAGGGGGCACAATATTTGGCATGGGAGAAAAGGGGGCATTTCTAGGGATCATTGGAGGACAGGAAGACTTGGGGCATTGCCTGGTATGATTCTGAGTGCAACCAGCCAGGGACAACAGCTATGTCGCCACCTAAGTGACCAAAAGTTCTTCCTTCCTTCATCACAGTGCCTGTTGCAGAGCATCACAAGGGATTTGAGGCCTTGGGTCCCTGCTGGTGGACAGATAGGGGTAAACCTAGCTAAATGGCACCAGGATAC